TCCTCCGGCCACTGCGATTGGGAGAGGGGGGGGTAAAACAGCGCTGACGCGGCGGTGGTGGCTGGGAGATGTTAACTACCTCGCCTGGTATACAAGATGGTCGTGGGTTTGATCCCGATCCCGACGCTGACGCCTGTATATTTGGAGTTTACATGTCTCCCTCTCTCCCCGCTGAGCTATGGCATTTCTCTATCAGAAGACACCTGGCCCACAAATTATAGATGAACAAGGTGGCGTATCATGTGGAAATGTATGGCAGTCAAATACTGTAAACGCGTCATGTTAATTCTAAATGTGGAGGGAAAAAACAAAAGAGGGCCCAGAGAAAAATCCACGCGACCGCAGGGAGAGACACACGGCAAACTCCAAATATATAACGGGCGTCAGCTTCGGGATCTAATCCACGACCTCCTGTATACCAGGTGCGGACTGATGAAGGTGGGGTTGGGAGTGACGCCCAGCACCGATTCAGACACGGACGATGTGAGCTGCGGCTGGGAATCCAACTCGGATGTTCAAGTGCATAGCGCAATGTGCTAACCGCTGCACCACCACTCCACCCTGTATAACAAATAATAATTTTAAAAAGCAGAGGTTTTTTTTTACTCAATTGCACTCATGTTTCACGAGCTTAAGGCAATATCTTCACAATGTTTGATACTTGATACGTCATGACAACGAGCATCTCCCCTCCCTCCAGCCAGCCAGACAAATTTGTTTTTAAATTATAAAATACAGGGTGCTTTCAGTTATCTTTTTTAACTCTTATATGGGACTATCGTTTTTAATGGAACAAGAACGGATAATAAAAACACTATAACATGATAACAAATGTAATGTTAATATCTTCAAAAAGTCAAAGAGTCTCCACGTGTTCGCCATCGTTGTCAACGCGTGCCTGGGAATCTCCTCCTAGTGGTCTCCAGAACCCGGAGGCACAAACATTTCTCGTGGTGTTGTTGCAAATTCTCAGAAATGTTAAAACATTTTTTTTGTAGTACCCTGTAATATGAAATATACCACTCGTTGAGCGACTGTCATTTCCCATCCCAACTCCATGACCCCTGTTTGACCTCTCACCCATCCATCGTGACAACCCATCCCCCGAAGACAAAGATCCCCCCCCCACCCCCGTATAACCTGAACAGACTGTAGGGGCAAGTGCTGTTAGCGAGTAGCACCTGTGAAGGCCGGCACGGCACGCGAAGGGGGTGGGTGGCCAACACCACGCCCGGCCGCCTTTGTCCTTGATGTTTACGCACCGCACGAGGTACTCATTTGAGGCCGAGTCGACCTAGGGGAGGCCCAAGGACGTATTTAGATCATTCGTCACCGGTGTTTGTCGCGAGTGGGAATCGAATTCGAGTGGCCGGGTGTAGTAGCGCAGCGCGCTAACCGCTGCGCAACAGCTCCCCTATACCTCCACCACCGTCACCCAGCAGCAGATTGACGAAACGGCTGTACACGTACAGCGTGTTGAAGATTACGATGTGTGGTAGAGAAGGAATTGGGCACCACGGTGGCGAGATGTTAACTAGCTCGCCTGGTATGCTGGAGGTCGTAGGTTCGAATCTGATCCTAACGCCTGCTGTATATTTGGAGTTCGCGTGTCAGTCTCTCTCGCTCTCTCTCCCCGTGGTCGCGTGGATCTTTCTCCGGGTCCACCGGGGTTTCCCCCTCCACATTTAGAATCAGCATCACGCGTTCAGGGTATTTAGCTGCGTCAAATGTCCACGAGATGATAAGCCACTTCGTTGAGCTTTCATCTGTTAGCCAGGTCGCTTCTGGAAAAAGAGCTATACAGCTCAGTAAACCTTACTTAGTAAAATGAAAAAGTTAAAGTTAAATATAGCAGCTCATTGTGAAACCAGACTTAGCATGGCTACAGCACACCACTGTGCTTCCCAATTACTGTACATCCAATGTCTCTCGGCGTGCCAGGATGAACTTTCCCTCGAGCAGAATTTAACCCCGCAGGACTAACGCGAAGCTCCACCGTTGTTTGGATTTGTGGGTTTGTGCGACGCGGGTTTATTCTCAAGAAATACATTATTATTTGTTTTGTCACGAGGGCCGTTAATGTGGCATATTTACTGCCGAGCCGTTGTTGGCAGGGGACGATGCATAAGGAGTGGACCGAACTAAAACCCATCCCTGTAAACGGATGGCACCATGACTACAATACAAATTGCGTGAGTGTGGGTGGCAAGAAATTGCCAAAACATTTTCACGAGATTTACATTCAGCCATTCGCAGAAGTTCTGCCCGCACGCCGTTTGCCCGACTGCATTTGTTTTTGTTCATGACAAAGAGATTTAAGCATTCAAAAGGAAACCTCTGGCTGTAGAAAAAGGTGTCCTAGAATTGCTCTTGGCCAAAAGCTTAAACATTTGTCAGCTGCAAGACTTGGAAGGGTGGTTAGGGTAACCGAGTGTGAACGGCTGCACGAATTGCACAGATTTAGCAAAACATTTATGAACTTGGAAAACTTGAGGTTCCAACTTTAAAAACATTGCCCCCCCCTCCCCCCATCACTGCAGCAAAATGCCAATAAAAAAACCCACCGCATTCAAGACCGAACAAATAAATTTCATCAATCGCCAAGGGCGGGTCACCGTTTTACAAATGCAATCTCTTCAATTGTCCAATGTAGGGGCGGAGCCAGGATTTCAAGCCCGGGTGACATTTAACAAATGTTAATTTCAAGAATGATTAGAGAGTCAGGCTGTTGAACTAGACGCCATCGGTTGGCGACACACACTGACAATGCAGTTGCACGGAGTCCGCCAGACCGAGTGTCGTACACTTACACGCAGAATGTCACCCCTGTCACCCCCCCCTGGCTCCGCCCCTGGTCCAATGTGGTGGTGGTGGTGTAAATAAGCAGTCAATCTAACCCGCACACAGCTGCTGCCACAGACAAATCAGTAACAGCGACATGACAGAAAAGTGTGCCGTTTTTTGTTGTTGTTGATGCATGAAGGGCAGAAGAAAAAATGACTTTTTGGCACTGCAGAGCTCATAGCATGTGCGCTTGGCACTCGGTTTAGGCGATATCAGGCGCTGTAATCTTCTTTTGAAACGCGTGATAAAAAAAATAATATGTTATGCAGTCGTATGACGATGAAGGTGGTGCACACACTGAATATCATCACACTGCACACCATGAATCTGACGAATTGAATTTTGATCGGTGGCCTGAGCCGAGTGACAGATATTCCATCCAGTTGTGTCGTCCCCTCCCCTCTCAAAACACGTATTGACCAGCGCAGCGAAGTATGGTCAAAGGACCTTTATGATCAAAAGTGCGTTTGTAGGGAGAGAGGGGGGGGGAGGGAGAGATCTTTATCCAGCAGTGGATTCAGAAAATGGGGTGAAAGTAATTTGTTTTTAATTATACATCTCCAGGAGGCACCATGTAATAGCGAAATTGCGATAAGTCGGAACAAGTCCTGAGGTTCCCGCAGCGTGCAAAAAGCAACATAACCTCCGTCAATTGCATTTCATCTTTTTCATGGGACCTCCTTTGCCAGTACCAAAATATAATCGTTTTTTTTTCCTTTTTGGCGTTTCTGGTGTGGACCAATCAGTTTCAAGGACAATGCATATATTACTCTCTGGTTCTTTCGGTAAAGTCACGTAGATATAAACAAAATAAAATAATAGAGTACGACGTTTCGATTGCAACACAAGCAACTGTCATCAGGTAGAACTAAATTTGAGAGATACAAAACAGATACGGACACACAGACAGACCAACAAGCAGATAGACACAACATAGACACACAAGAGACCCAATGCCTCTGTGTCGAGGCCTTAAATAGAAAGATTTTTTTTTGTTTGCATTCCGACCACAAGCATTGTGGTTAACGCAGACATGATTCCTCGTGAAAGGTTTCAGTTTGGTGTTTTAACATCTTTACACCCGTTTTGTTGTCAGAAAAAAAAGTTGGAAAAACCTATTATCGTTTCATCTGTTGTTCACACATTGAAAAAGAGAGGTGGTGGTGGCGTGGAGGTTCAAATTGAGGCCACGTGCACAGGTAAAGAGAAGGGTTAAGTGTGGCAGATCGCGGATTCGTCAGTCACACGCCCGCCCGCGCGTGCGGACTCGGCAGGATTTGTCCTGGACCCCCCCCCCCCCCCCGAGCGAGTGGCTATGACGCCAGCAATGACGCGCGAGCGAGTGCTCTGCACGTCACGAGGTGCCTGGCGGACCATTAATAACGCATCGCCCGCAGTCGGAGCGCTCGAACAGCAGCCGGTCGAACCTTAAATCACTGCTCTCAAAAGCCACCCCACCCAAACCCCGGCACTCAATCGGGAGCACTTTAACCGACACGCGAACACGTACACATACCTGTTGCCAAACATGTTAACGAAGCAGAGGTTTTTTTTTTCCTCCCTCCAGCACATAGCCCGCGTGTGCATTTGTCTGGATATACAAAGCTATTCCATCATGACTAATCCCTTTCACGATTGATTACATTTCCATGAGGCTTCACGACTTCCTTCAACGTGCACCACTACTTATTGTCAGACTAAACAATGTCTTGCATATCATGGTACCTCCCTCCCTTGCCATTATCAAAATATAATAGGTTTCTAATGCAGACATGATTCCTTGCAAAAAGGTTTAAGTTTAGTGTTTTAACATCTTAATACCTGTGTTATTGCCAAAAAGGGTAAAACCTATTATTGTCTTACATAACTAGGCCAATGTCCGCTTGGTTATGCTCTTTCGCGAGAATAATATTATATCTGTACGTTACGTTTCGTACAGTACACGGGAACACTGGGGTACAATTTTCTTTGGCAGAGAAGCTTATTGTTGGCAGCTGGCATCGTCGGGGGGGGGGCGGGGGTTGTGGGGACACGTGAATTGTCACACTGAACCTCGTGAAAGACATTTTGACAACGGAACAAAGGGCAGACACGTGATTGAGTTCACAAGCAGAAGAACCACAAACCCACACCAATGCAGGGAGCATGACGGGACATTTTCAGGGAGAAGCTTTTACACTTTATTACATTGCTCAATAAGACAATACCAGAGAACTCATGTGATACAAGGCTAGGCTCACAAGTTGCTCCATGTGCCAGCAGGCATACATTTCAGCACACACACGTACTGCAATGTCCATGGAAAACCATGTGGTCGAGAGGTTTTATATCAAACAAGCAGTCTTATTATGCAGTGCTTAGCAAAGGAGTTAAAAGGGAACTTTGGCTAAAAAGAAAAGCCATTCTAAATGTTACAGTATCTGCACATCAGACATGGATAATCCAATTAAAAGCAAAGGTGAAGAAAAACAGCAGGGTAAATCACAGTGCGAGCCAAACCAGATGCACATGCTTTGTAAACTGCTGAGGGCTCGTTATGAAAATCAAAAGGGATGTTTTATCCCTTCAAAAACTTGAGAGCTTAAGAACCAGGTCCGCAAAAAGTGTTAAAACCAACAGAGCACGAAAGAGAGACGCATAATATTCACACAATCTTTAACCCTCAGACAGGAAGATTAAAAGCATTTGCTCGAAAATGCAATTTTGTTATGACCTATCAGCAGGTGTTCACACATTCACATCCTGCACTAAAATGGGATTAAAGGATTCAGCGATTTTTTTTTTAAGGAACTTCACTCACCGCAACACAATTTATTAGCCTGTGGAACGATTACACCATACTTAAATAAAACATAAAAAACTATGAACACAAGAAGAAGTCCTTCATAGCAATTATATGCAGTTACGTTTAACAGAGAGAAAAAAAAACATTTTAATTTGGTCAAATGTCAGATAATTTTCCCCTTAACATAACCTGATCATTATTAATAACAGTGAATTTTGCAGATAGGGCATCATTACATTTTGACCATTCATTTGGATGTAAAAAAAAATGTCTAGCCAAGTGGGCGTTTGTTTTGTTGACAGGCAGAAAGTTACTGAACACCAATGAGCAGCATGCTTGAAGCCTAAGAGCGCTAAAAAGCACGTGACGAAAAAGAGTACAAAAAAAATTAAAGAATCAAGTTGTCATGCTTTATTACAGAAATCAGCACGAGCAATTATTTCGAAAACCGAGACAAGCATCTCCACCACAGCATGAGAATTGTCACACGGCCAATTGAAGGTTTTATTATCCAATACTCACTTATTAATCTTTAAGTGTACATTAGTGAATATCGCAAACACAAGATAGATGTTGGGGGGGGGCAGGGTAAGGGTAGGGAAAAAAGGGGGGAGGGGGTGGTGGGTGGTGTATGGAAATTTGGAAATGTACGTCGAGTGTTCTGGGATCTGGGTAATAAATGTGGCCTTCAGGCTCCGAGCGCCAGCACTGAAAAACAAAACAAAAAATATATAAACTTATATTACATTATTCTTCATGGAATGGCCAGGTAATACATTCTAACAAATATTTAAAAAAAAAAACTTGTTATGGTTTACCGTGAAGAAGGAATGATAGTTTTGGCGATTCACTTTTGTGCACAATACAAGAGCTGATGTTTCAATAAAGCCACCATTATTTCTGGCAACGCACGTTATTTTTCTTTCGATAGGAGTGGATGCGTAACATACCAGACAGGGCTTCCTGTGCAAAGTACTTGACATCGATGTCTTGATCGCCTCCCAGTTTCTCCAGCACAGGTTTCACTTCCGACTGCAGGGTGCTGTGGAAAAACACACACACGTGTCGCGTTGCAGACCACCAAAGATTCATACAATTTCGAAAAGTGAAAACCAATTTCTTTAGAACTGCTTTCGATGTTAAGTTTGTTGTCCTTCCACAACACCTCCGATGAGCACGATTGGCTATGTACGGCTGCGAAGGAAATCCAACGTATACAGATACAATATCATCGGGGCAGCATCATAGACACAGCTCAATTGTGCAGGGAACTATAACAAGCTCTAATATCAATTCCTTCATTATACGATGCTGCAAAGAGCACAGTAATTACATAATGGTACATCTAGCAGTCATAAAAGGTGGGCTTTCAAACGTAGCATTTTTTAAAATGTAATTGTGTTATCAACTTGTCATGCAGATGTCAAATTGCAGCCTTCGTGCGATCACAAGATAATCTCCCCCCCACCGTTATTTTATCCTGGCTACAATGTTAGGCGTCATGCGGTCACAGAAAGCACCCATGCTGCTGGAACACATGATGGTGCCGAGGAATCAATGTCACCCTGTCACCTTTGTTTCCCACAGACAGCGATACATTTCTGGACCACAACGTCCTTTTAAACCTCAAACTAATGATATCTATCCCACGCCAAGTACAGAGCTGCTGATACCCTTTGCCCAAATGTCGCATAGAGTACACCGAGCAGTTTACAACCTAAGACCATTATACAACTACAACTTAACTCGTACTATAAGCAAGGCAAACACAGCTCTTGACTTTAAACAACCTCAATCATCATCAGCCACGATCAATGCGACTGCTTGATGAAATGCCTCTCCCACACGCCATCACCACCTCTCATGGCCCCACACACTGCTTGTAATGAAATGTGACTGTAACAGCCGATTGAACATCAAGGCTTTTCTTTTTGTGCTTTTTGTTTTAAGTTTGTTGTCCTTACCCTGCAAATGCGGTTAGCACGGTTGGCTACGTACTGTGCGAAAGAAGTTCAACATACATCCATACATTTCAGGCATAGCAGAATGGGCGAGCATAAGGCCAGAACGTACTTTGTTTCAAGGATTGGTCCAATCTTTTGCAGTGACTTGGCCACATTGAAGCGCACGTTGGCCACCTGGTCTTGGGCCATGCGCAGCACCGTGGGCAGCATGAGCTTTGCCGTGATGTCTTGGCCGCACACCTCCGCCAGCACCTATTGGGCAGTCAAAAACAACCAGTGAGGTCACGAACAGTCGCGTACCGTTCGCGTGCATTGTATGGGCCCCGCGGTGACGCAAAGTTCACTACCCCGCCTGGTATACAGGAGGTCGTGGGTTCGATCCAGACCCAGACACCTGTATATTTGGGGCTTGCATGTTCTCCCGTGGTCACGTGGATTTTTCTCTGGGTCCTCCGGTTTTTCCCTCCATATTTAGAAACAACGTGCATTTAAGAGTATTTGGCTGCTATAAATGTCCACGTGATAAGCCACTTAATTTTGAGCTATCACTTGTGACCAGGTTGCTTAGGGAAAAAAAGAGCTTTATAGCTCAGGGGGCCTTACCTGGTAAAATACAAAATAGTTGAAATTTGAAAGGTCAGATTGGATGGGGAAAAAAATCCAGCCAAGGAGAGGCCACAGTTTGACACTGGCAGGAAGAAAAATATCAAAGCGATGCAAAAACCTTGCACCTGTCTTAACAATTTCATTCTTATAATAGATCGTGGTGGCTTTGGCTTATTTGGGCCAATTTGTATCTGCCATACTATATCAAAGAAATGTCATCAGAAGTCTTAACAATTTCAGTCTTATAATAGACCGTGGTGGCTTTGGCTTATTTGGGCCAATTTGTATCTGCCATACTATATCAAAGAAATGTCATCAGAAGAGGAGAAGTGCCAAATACGACAGACAAGCAGTGTGGCACAACCACATCAAACACACACAAAGGGGTGAGTGCAGGGGTAAGAATGCCGCTCTATGTGGAGGATTTGTGAGTGATGTGTGGAAAGGAAACAAAAAGCAGCCAAGTAAGAAAATTCAATATCACCGTCAAGTAACATTGACCACAACTCTTGATTGGAAGAAGTATTCCATAAAACAGCCACAAAGAAAGTGCTCGGTGTGTGTCGATCCGGGTGTGGGACAACGCACGTTTACGCAGAAGAGGGTGGTCATGCGGTGAAGGTAGTTGTGGTCATTGGACATGGCCAAGACTTTGGGGATGATGGTGCTCTGAGCCCACTCCTTGCCAAACTTCTCCACCAGCTTCTTCAGGTTGTTGGTGGCAGCCTCGCGGATCGCATACACTGATTGGAGAAACAAAACCGGTTACACACCTCAAGAATGTGCAACAACAACAAGAAGCAATTCAAATACAGGTCATGAGCATGAACCAGTGGGTGATAACCATTGGGCAGCTAGAGGTTCAACAAAATGGTTGGCCATAGAGGCAACCTAAGCTGCGCAAGTTGGAGGCAAGGCTTGCGAGTTGGAGGGGGCAAATGCTTAGACAAATCCCAATGTAGGAAAGTATTCAATGGGCAGCTTGAGAAATCCGACTCGAACAAAGTCGCCCCAAGAGAGCGGCGAGAATGGCGCAAGAGACAAGGCAAGGCACTTGGAAATTCACGTGGGAAATGTGGAATGTCGTCCTGCCCTTAACCACTGACATCAAAACCTCTGAAGCAATCATTACATTAAAATATGTAATACAACTTGGGGGTTTTTTCTCGTGGAGTTTTACAAGCTTATGTTTACAAAAATAATGTCAGTGATGAGGTCAACTGCATTAAGCAGCAGATTTGAGAATAGAGCGTGTAAACATACCGTGATCTACCAGCCACGCCATGCAGAGAGAGTTGAGTTTTTCGTCAAAAAACTCCACGCCCTGTTGCGATATAAACACAAAATAAATGTCTATAACTGTAGGAAAAACAGTTTGTCACATTATTTTGTAGCAGCCCTTTTGATAATTACAGTTACATCCATCACAAGACAAGTGACGACTTACGCAAACCCGGTCCCCTTAGCCGTTTGTGCCAAAAACCATCATTTCAATATTAATCAGAGGGAGGGGGGCAGGCATTTCTTCACAAGATGCTGCTGGGAACCTGGGATAAATGTTAACCAACTTGGTGGCATGAAGAGCAAGCCCCCCTTTCAATAACTATGACAGAGTCACTGAAAAAGGTTAAGAACATATTAAATTAACATTTTCAAATTTGTTCTTAAGCATTTAAGCCACCTATTAACACTAATGAAACTGCTAACCCACACAAACTAAACCATGCAACTACTAACCAACTCATGCACACTTTCAGCAAACCATTCACCAGCTCACCAAGACATTAAATAACTATCCATATCCATCCAACTAACCCAGAAAATTCCTCATCAACCCACCTACCACCCAATAAATCCACCTACATACTTGTTCACAATTGATAGCGTACACAAGGAAAAGAACACCTACTTAGGTTAATTCTCGACTTCCAGGAAAGATCACCTAAAAATAGCTTGCATATCACCAAAAACTCGACAGCTCAATGCTCTAGTCACACGTCAATGTTTGGTGCCCGTGGGTTTACCTGACCGAATAGCAAATTTTTCACTCCCCATAACCTCATTACCACATGCCCTTTACTGTAATACAATGAAAATAGGAATAGGTTATCCACACCACCACACATTGCTTCGTGGGTGTTTTGCAGCTGCTAAATGTTAAAATGCCAAATGCCTTCCATCCACCCTCGCAAACTCCTGACCACTTATCTGGTGCACAGGGAATTCTCGGTTTCTCAGAAACAGGTACAAATTACGCAATCGAGGTTACACTCCCAAAGACTGTAATCCGTACTTCATATTTATTACATATCCCAGAGTTCATCGGAATTTTCGGGTGAAGATCAATTTGTGTATTTATTGGACGCAATTAGTTATCCGTGGGTAACATGAACATAAATGCATGAGCTCTCTTTAATTAGGCTAACACTGCATTCTGAACTTACACCAAAAGCTAACAATGAAATGCTCATCTGTGAATGTGCCATGGAACTTGATACGTATCTTAAGTATATTAAGCCATGAGCATGGTTATGGCCCTATAAAACTATTTACATCGTGATGTCAATCCACTTCTGAGTTAGTAATGAGAGTTGTTTGATCATATTTAACCAAGTTGGTGAGTGTGCGTTGAAGAGGAGAGAGGGTCCAGGACCATTTAAAATATCACTGTCCACCGCATAATTATCTGTGCCCTGGAATACAATTCTGGTTGCCAGGCTCTTAGCTCAGTGTGCTAAACACCGCGACACCACTCCTCCCAACTCCCATTACGCTTAGCAACACAATGAATACTTTTACACAATCCTGGCTTACATGGCAAACTGTAATTCACATCCTGCATTCAAGGGCATCAATTATTATAATTCCTTTTTAGGTTTGGGCCAGTACCATGGCAGCAGCTTGGGGGTTTGCACTTCTGTTTATTTATTTATTTAAGTCCACCCATGTGAATTAGTGAAAAGCAGGGGAAACACCGCTTGAGCCGCTCAAATTTAGAAAGTGAGTCTAGCGCTCTAAGGAATGCTACAACCTCAATCTCAGCTGCAGCTATAAATAGTAAACATAGACGTAGCTGTGATGACTACTGGGAATCCGTTCCCATCTAGAGAATATACTGCATTTATTAATTTATTACCGATTGTGGACGAAGAGATTAGATGGACCCTCGCTCAGAAAATTAAAAAAAGGAATGGAAAAAAAGCTTCTGATCCACCAGGTGTTACCACCAGTCGGCAGCTCCAAGCATCGCTTTTAATGAGGTAGCCACATCCGGCCTTTGGTCAAGGCAACACGGGCAGGAAGAGCCCCCCACACCGTCCACGCCCAAATCAAGCACCATTGTCACCGTCGTCATCCCCCACCCACTTGACGACATGCTCAACTCACCAGCTGCCCAGCAAGCAGTGGCATGTACTCAATGATGGCCAGGCGAACTCTCCACTTGGTGTCCTCGGCCAGTTCAACGATGGCGGGCAGAAGGGACTGGGAGAGCTGACGAATCCCGATCACCTCATTCACGCAGTCCAGGTTGGAGATGATATTCAGCCGTACTTCAGGGCACTGTGGTGGTGACACACATGCGCGTATGCACACGAGCCAATGAACACACATGCCAATGGTAACGCCAACATGTACACGTGGAGTCCTTTAGGCAATCCCACCGCAGGATGAGGGCTTTCCCCAATGCACGTGGGTCGCAGAGGTTATTTGAGCGGTGGTGTAGCGGTTAGCGCGCTGCGCTATGAACCTGGCGACCCGGGTTCAATTCCCGCTCACGGCCAACACTAGTGACGATTATCTGAACCGGTCCTGGGCCTTCCCTAGGTCGACTCGGCCTCAAATGAGTACCTGGTGTGATGTGTAAACATTGCCACTAGGGAGACAAAGGCGGCTGGGCGTGGTGTTGGCCACCCACCCCCACGTGTGCCGTGCCGGCCTTTATAGGCGCTCGCTAACAGCACTTGCCCCTACAGTCTGTTAAGGCTATATGGGGGATCTTTGTCTTTGCTCATACATCACACCATTTTGGTCAGTGCAGGTTGGTGAAAGTGGAAAGCAAAGATATGGGATCATCGAAGCGCAGCTTAACATAATATTTAGCTGTACTTCCCTCTACTGCCCATCGTGTGGCCCACAGTTGATAACAACCTGCTTGTATGATGATCCCCTATCCAACCGCTATCCAGGCTCAACTTGGCTGAGCTTATAAAATCTTGTGAGAGCAGGTGAATTCCGAGCGATCTTGGTTATAAACATAACAGCACCAAGTCACAGTGAAATGTTCTCTTTAAAGAGATTCATAACAAAAAAACCATGAAAATATGGAAAATTTGTTTTGGCAGGTGATTGGATTTCAGTTGAGCATGAAAAGAGCACGAAGAAAACTATAGCCAAAGGCTTCCTGCAATGCTTTTTTTTTTCAGTTCAGTTTGCTTTGGCAGATAATGGATCAAGGAGTCCTTTCTCAAGTTACTGTATTTTATTAAAGTGTTGGCTCTAAAAATGTATCAAGATTCGTATTGTAATTTTTATGTCATAATAGGCATACAAGCAGCTAGCCTAAATATAACTTACATCATACACATACAAAACAACGTATGGGACCAGTTAAAAAGTAACAAAATTATCTCAAAGGCCAGGAACCTACATGCTCCAACAGCTACTAAAAAAGCCCGTGGTTTGCTCAGTGCTAATATGCCAAATATATCAGCATCAACAGCCAGACTGTGAACAAGGGTTGGTTGCAGATATGCTGTTGAACTTCCTTCGCATCGTTCGTAGCCATCGATGCCAGAGGTGCGCAAGAAGTTCGGTTATCAAGAATAACTCGCGGAGCGAGGAAACTACGAGAGGAAACGCCCTCACCTCGTCCTTGAGCTGTGCCAGGAAGAGGGGCAGCAGGTGCTCAATCGTGTTGTCTTTCCCCAGGATGGGGGACAGACCCATGATCACGGATGCCAGCGCCGACTTGACATGCTGGTTCGCATCGGATACGAGTTCCTGCAGAGATGGGGGAAAGCACGCGTGAGAACGCGTCACAGTATAGGCAGGTAAAAAAAATATGTCCCCTGTCACCCTCCTTCCCCCAACAAAGGTCATTGACAACAAAGGGTTTCCCAACCATCATCGCAGACTACACCACAAGTTTCAGAGGCTAATTTGTACCTTGCAACAAAAACGTGCCTTTCACCAAATTAGACAGAATACGGCCGATCTATACATTGCTGCACGGTACTACTACGCACTTGCAACTATTGCTCCAGGCCTTGACCAACCAAAGAATAACCAGCCTGTTGAAGGATAGTCAAACAAACCTGCCAACCCACCCCCAGAACATGGAAAGGCCCTCATCCAGCAGTGGAATGACTTGACAAACGGCTGTACGTGTAGCGTGTGTACAAAGGCATAACCCTAACGTCAACATCCGCGGGCGGTTCTGCGAGTGGTCCCGCGATGGGGGTCGTGCGCTACTTTTGCAAACACACGCATTTCTCACTGGCGCCTAACTCGTGCGGGCGGGGGACCAACACACTACGCGCGCGTGGGCGGCCGTTTCCTTGCACACCGTCAACATGCAAGGGGTGACAGCTACAACTTCCTGGATGTTGCGGCCACGTGCAAATCGAAAGGTGGCTTGAAATAGAACATGTTGGGCTTCAAAAGGGTGGATACAAATTGGCTACAGCAGCATGCCAAACGTTTTGGTGCCTCCTGTCCACATATTTCACTCGCATGAATTGTTAGAGTCGGCATTAAATGGGCATCTTTGGAATTGGGGCCCCCACAATGAACCAAATTTAAACGGCACGATGATTTTATCGTTTCAATGGAAAACCTTGGATTGCGAGTAACTTGGTCAGTGAGTGTTTTGCAAGACGAGCAAACATTTTAAAGTAAATATTAATTTGAAAAACGAGCGAGGTCTTGCAATACGAGTAGTACGTATAAGCTTTGTCTGCCAAGTGTCACGTGATCACAACTGATATACGAGTGCTTTGGATTACAAACACGTTTCTGGAACGAATTATGCTCACAATCCAAGGTTTTACTGTATTTGAAATTAAAAAATTGCACGCTACTACCATTCCTTTAATGTTAATATTATTTTTAAGGTAGATGTCATAATACATCATTCAAAACAATTATGCAAGTAAAAAAACTAATAAGAATATGAAATTTTACACAAAAAAACAAGCAAATTAAAGTAAAAAGATGCAACAAGTTAATGTGCAGCTCCCTTGGCAAAGACGAAGTTGCCAGTATAGGTCAAGTTGAAAAAAAATCGGTCACAAATGACATTTTAAATACCACCATCTGTTGCAAAAAGATAGATCCTACAGCACTTTAAACCCATGACATTACATTTGAGAGCTCTGAAGCCTGGGAAAGGACAGGCGTGGGTGTACAAAGAGGTATGCGCTCTGTGAAATATAGTCTTACAGTGAGGTCACCATCAGAAGAATTTAAAATATGTATTCCTCCATGGCCCACATCCCACACACAACCCACGCCATACACTATTGCCTGCAACCAACTATAAAGCTTGCAAGAGAAGAAAAATAAGGCGCGTGACCTATTGGGGAGTTCTATTTAAAAACGCCCGCAGAAAAACCACGTGAATGCTCGTGCCTAACTAACAATGGATGCCACGAAAACTTGCAACAAGCTTAAATAAACTAAAAATGCATGTGTCATTTAAACAAAGCGGGCAAAACAAAACGAATTTACCTCTGTGGTTGAACAGTTTATTCCCTAACCATGCTCAAGGTATGGAATGGAAAGTAAAATTACACCAGTGCATCTATTCAGATTATTTCCAGTTGGTACAGTCTACAAGCAAGGGGAGGTTCTGATAAGAGCGCAGTCACTTTATGCACTATATTATTACTTTCAGCAAAGTTATTGTGCAACTGTCAGCGTTTTGCACACGTACAGGCTTTATTCACAGTGATGTCCCAATATATAAACCTGTGACGCTAAAAGAACGGGATTATCACAACGACTTAAAACAAATTAGAGCACAAAAAAAAACATTTTGAGGTAATCGATGGGGAAAAAAAAACAATTTGTGGACATGGCGACAAACTATAAATTTTAAGCCGTGAAAGAAATTAGATTCATGTCAAAGCTACATCATCAGCATTAGAGCACTAACAAGGGACTTACACTTACACACCATTCACTTTGCTGATACCTCCCGATTTTATTAATGAGCACAGGAAGTAGGCAAGACTACGCCAATCATATGAAAACCATATGAAAATGGAAAAAAATATGTCAATTCTCATTCATTATTCGTCAATAAGGGAATTAGAAAGTGATTAAAATTATGTTGCTAGCTTCTTTTTCAGAAGCGACATGACCACAAACGACAGCTCAACAAAAGTGGCTTATGTGGGATTTACAGCAAGAAATAACCAATGTTTGAAACTAACACTTACACCCTACGCTGAAAGTGGTCGAAGACAAAGGCAGTTAATGTTATACATTGCACAGCACACAACTGAACACAGACCTGGCATTTGCCCACATCCGAGAAATAACAGTGACCCACTCAAGAATCCAGCCGCCTGATGTATTTTACGAGATGGCACCAGATTACACAGGGTCCTGACGCAAGTCGAGTCTCTCAAGATCCCATCGAATGCAGAATCTCAGCAACCACTGACGCATTTGCGACCGCCGCTTTCAAAATGCGTTTTAGATTAAAAATGTAGATACAACTTATAGGCCTTGCCAAAACAACATTTATATAAAAAATGTAAGATGACAAATTGTACTCGAACATGACATTAAATTTACATATATTACTTTCAAACTGCACACCTAAATATGATACAAAAAAACATGTAAAACCACCACCACCACCTATGGAATTAATTATTTTTAAGCATTTTTCTGCAACAGGGCATATTTTGGTAAGCAGAAGGTTGTCCTGGAATGTTACAGCTACAGCCTAGGTGGCCTGTCAGTTATACAATACCAAAGAATACCAGCCAGTGATCAAGCAAAGTGGCTCAAGCTCTCTGGACACTTATCTTAGTGGTCAATGGAAATCTAATCAGATTACAAGCAACCGGGGTAATGGGAAATGTGCACAATCATGACCATCCCTGTATTGAATGTCATTGCTACTGTGGAAGAAGAGTAACATGTAGGCGTGCGTGACGAGTCAAGGTCAGTTCACAAACCTTTGTTTCCTTCCTTTGTTAGACGTTAACAAGTGTTCCAAATACAATGTTTTTTGGTGAGGTGTGCAATACTAATGGAGACCAATGTGACCAGGAGGGTATGAGGTGGGTTGGGGGGGGTAATGGCAATGTCAGGGTATTTACTCAGCACCAATAGTAACCCATGTTCAATATCAGGGTTATAGCAAGGACTACAAGAAGAGTCGCAGTATTTTAGCAAATGCACCAATAGCTTCACTGATAAGCGAGTTTAAATATGGATTTCACTTAATTCAGGGAAAACCATATCATATCTACTCAAAAATGCAAAAGAATATGTAATTTCCTACAAATACAAATAAAGCATTATGCAAACAGCATCAAGGGAGGCCCAAATATGCGATCATGGAGTTTGACAGTTGTCAGTGGGATGCTTCTGGTGGCATGCTAGTCATCAAAAATTGTTTTCAATTGGACAAACAAAACGTCCACATATTTGAGTGGAGCGACCACGTGAGCATACCTTGACACAAGGCAAGATGTTCGACATGATGACGCTTTCTTGGCAGTCTGATGGCAGGTTTTCGCAAAACTCTGTAACGCAGATTTTTCCAGTCCATTAATGCCGTTTCACAGTGTCCTTGGCATTTCACATAGCTTCGAGCACAAATAAACTAAACCGCAGTCAAAGCCTACCTGCTATAAAGTGTCCACGTTTGAAATGAGAATTAGAATGCCAACCTATTTCACAAATTGCATTTATTTAATTCCATGTGGAATTACATTTTAGGACACAGGAAAATATGAAAACGTTCAGACTGTATTTATGACGACCTTGTGAGCATCGAAAAGAGCAATTGGTTTCATTGAAGATCAGCCACTTACAAGAATGTTATACTTTCAATGGTTAGTGATTTGCACTCAAGTAATACAATCCTTTAATTAAGGTCTTACAAGTAACCCCACTATGGGGAAAAATAAATAAAACTCAGCCTAAAGCTTTGATATAATTTAGTAACATTCTAAATATACCTGATTGTCCAAAATTTTTAAGGTATATAAAATCACAAACTCCACTCTGCTGAAAATCACATTGTTCTAGCGGTGAATAGGCAACCTAAGAGGCATCACATTTTGACTGCAGGTGCGAATGACATACAAAGTGCATTCACCGACACTTTACAAGCTTCACATGCCTGTATCCAACAAAGCAATAGCATGGAAATTTACCCCATGAACATGACTATACTCCTGCGAGTTAAAGCATCACCGGGAAGAAATGAAAACCAATTCTCTGCATAGTGTTGCAATTATATTTTTTTTGACGACATGGAAGTCGCATTGACGAATACGATATTAAAGTGCTAAAACCTTTGACAGCACGAGTAGTACACATCGATTCAGAACAGTGCATGCCAACCCCACTGAGAGCGAGGAGTCTCACACCTTTCACTTTATGGGCTGCAGCAGCCCGAACTTCAGCCTCGCAGTCCTTGAGCAAGTTCTGGAAGGCGGGTACTAGGTCCGTCTTTGTAATCTCTGATCCAACAGCTTTCTGAATCTGAACACGGGAGAAGCAGCAAACAAACTTTGTTTAAAACCAGGTGAGAAACCCGTTAAGACAAAGTCGTTATTTTAAGGGAGATACGAGTCGCAAAAGAAATGTAGTGAACATAATCAAACTTTAAAAAACAGGGTGTTATATTAATACGGAAAATAACATGAATGTATATAAAACGTTATTTGATAACAATGGTGTGGTATAACATTTAAAATACAACTTCGAATTTATGTAAACTGCATTTTAAATGGAGCTATGTTTCAAAAGATTTGCACGTGTACTGAAATAGGAATGATTTCAATAGCCCGTTAAAAACTGGTATGATAGTATTATAAAGTAAGTACTAAGGAGCACCGTGGTAAAACAAATAACTAATTTAAAATGTATTTTTTACTCAGGTAAAGACTAAGAACAAATTATCACAGCAGACTATTTTACCATGCTTGTTAGCAGTGTTTTTATAAAGTTGCATCAATCTGTGGTTCGTGGGGTGTTGCATGTCAATTTAACTTACAAGAATAATCCAACCACACTCTGAGTGATAATGATGGATGCATCCAACATCACCGTTCGATTTCATGCAATTCGCACCAGTTTAGTTAGGTCAAACACACAAGTTAGCATATTTTTCAATACCCTGTGAAATTAACTCACCAATGCACAAACGGAATTATCTTTCAGAATTGTTCAATGTGAAATTGTTAAAATTAGGATTTATTTTGAGCAGTGCTCCAGCCACATGTTTACACACAACTGCAACAGCACTAACAATGAATCGAAATTACCGCTTTCATTATCAGGTTTTGCACACATTAAATATGCCTAAAGCTCTAAATCAATATTTTCCTGAAACCCAAACGCCCTATTCGCACGGATGGCTATGGACGGTGCAAAAAAAGTTCAACATACACACACACACGACATCGCAGACTGCTAGGGGACTCTGTATATGATAAGAAATCCCGCTCTGCGAGAGGTTGGCACCTCATTGAACTTGTCGGCAACCATGTAGCGCACGCGCCAGGACTTGTCTTCGGCTGCCTGTCGGAGTGTGGGCATCACCATGGCCTCTAGGTCTTCAGCAGGGAGGAGCGAGGCAATATTCACACATGCCTCCACAGCCAGAAGGCGCACAGAGTCCTGCACACCCACGTACGTGCCAATATGAGACAACTCAAAACCCGTAACACGTCTGGACAAGGAATCCAAAATTTAACGTTTAAATCTTTCAGGCTGGATTGTGTGTATTGTATACATGTTAGCGCGAGTTTTCTTCGGGTATTCTGGTTTCGTTCCCACGTAACAAACGTTTATCAAAAAGAGATTGGTCGAACCTTACAATGCAGGAATGTTCCTGAAAAAAAGAGTTCTCATACTCCAAGAGGCTTTCCATAAAAGAAAAAAAATGTTGGTTTGAATTTGTTTCCCTGCCCAACAATTGTTTTTAAAACACCAAATTAAAATCAAATTATAATTATCAGCATATTGGGAACAGTGAGCAGCTTTATGATGAATGCAAGGCACAATTGATCCCTGGCAAGTGCAAAATAATTGGTTGGTCACCTTGAGGCAAAGTGAAACCATTCAAACAGTGATTCAGGTCTTGTCCACCAAAAACCACTGAGGCTAAAATGTGCTGGCTCTTGAGTTAGTCGACTAAAATAAGGCTGTGTTTATTATTGACACAGTACAGTATGTCACGTGACATACAAATGAAGATGGGAGGACTGCTGATCACAATCACCCTTTGTGTATGTGTGTATATAATGACTGTTGTTTGAGAAACCTGTTCATCGGATGCGAGGTTGTTGAACATTGGGATGACGTCGTTCTTAATGTAGTCAATCTCCAAGACTTTGGCAAACTCTCCCAGCTTGGAGGCCGCAGCACGTCGCACCATTGGAGTATCATCCCCACAGAGGTTGCGGAAGTGTCTGCGATGGCAAAGATGAACGGGCACGGTGAGGGGACAAACATTTGGCACATGACAAGAAAAAATAGATATCTGCGAATCTACTCGGTTGCTTCATTTATGAAGCAGGCTGTTTCTGGGCATGCCCAGCAGAAGTGTGACTTCACGGTCTTAAGGATCTTGGTATTGCATAAACTGAAACTGTACTACATTGTATTATTATTCAAGCTATCTTTTAATTCTGACATGAAGCTAGTACAAGATGCGGTGACCAATCTGCATGTTGAGACAAATGGTTATGGGAACAATTACCGCCATAGCTATAAAAAAATCTAATTCACAGGCATGTTAATCCACTGATGGACAAAGGCCTCTCCGCCACATATCAGTCCTGAGGGCTGTGTGACAAAACATCAGCTTCCTTGCGGATGTGGGACTGGTTCAGATACGACTCTTGGCTGATGTTGGCCATTACTAGAAATTGGAATCTGGTTTGCTCCGTTTCTCGCAGTGAACAACTCACTGAGCCTCCACTCTACACCTTTTAAAGGAACAGGAAAAGTAAAAAAACAAATAGAAAATCAATTATCATTTCAATAGAATTCGACTGTATATCCTGGTGCTCTGACATTCGTTCAGAGCTTCCTTAACGAGAATAACGGCTTGTAAATCAGTCATGCAAGTTGAAATCGTCTTAATAAGTATGGGAGTGACACTCGGTTGCCATAATGATGCACTTGAACTTAAGTGCAAAGTCTTGTTTTCTCATTAACAGAGCTTGTGTCAGATTGGGACTTAAATCTTAGTTGCCTTTGTACATGCTAAGAGATATGTATTCTTGTACAGCTTCCTTTAGTGTAGTAGTGGGTAACCTAGTGCCCACGAGATGGATACAGTTTGCAACCTTAATTCACGTGACCCACCGCTCCACGAGGTATACCAACTCAAAAATGACCCACAAGTAATATTTATTCGTCACTACAAGCATCTTTATCCACACTGCAAGAGGGGAATTTTCTTTCGACCTGGAAACACTTAATAATGTTAGAGCATCTTGCAGTGGCAAGAGCGTTGCGTGTGCTTATGTGTGGCCCACCAAATGATTTGGGCGTCAGTAAGGGTAATCGCCGCTTTAGCTACAAGCCACAGAATAGGGCTTTCACATAACACGCCCACACGTGCACAAAAGCACTCACTGCCGGAGTTCGGCCTTGACGGCATTGGAGACCCTGGGGTAGGCCACGCTGAAGAGTCCGCACGCAGATGTGCGCGACGTGAACCAGTCGCCACTCGCCAGGCGCTTCACTAGCGGCACGAAGTGAGCCTCCAAGTCTGCGGGCGAGTGCTCGGCGGAGATTGCACGCAGCGATTCCACCGCCTTGTCCCTCACCACCGTCTCCTCCACCGTGGCCAGGCTCTCCAGCGGAGGCTGCTCGCACACACCCACGCGCGTACCCGCTCCATTGGCCTCCCAGAGGTGCCGTGAACAACGCTACGGGCCGCATCATCAACCAATTGACCCGGTGCTGGAATTAAGGCCTGAACGCGTCGTTGCATATCGCTCACGGTCATGCGATGTAATCTTCCAACTTGAGGAGCGCTTTTACAGGAACCGATTTCGTCCCTTCATCTCTATGGTGGACGTCATTTAGGCACGTTCTCTCGCTAGGCTAGCATGCCATCTTTATTCACATTAATTTTTATGTTTGCCAAAAAAAGTTACGTGAAGAAACTGGCTTTGAAAATGTGCTAATATTAGAAATGTTTTTTTTACATGTCTGGAAAAGAACATCATTAGAATTATATTTTGACACTTCTTCAGGAGTATTTGTATTGGAATGTTCATGTTCACTATCACAAACATTTTGATTTAAGCTTTCGTGACTGCAAGGATTCATCTTCTTTGGTTCTTTCGGTAAAGTCACGTAGAATGAGAATAAAATAATTGATAAAATAAAATAACACAATAAAATTCTCACGACGTTTCGGCCACAACACAAGCAGCCTTCATCAGGTGAAGGGACGAGACTGTCTGTCAAGGGGTGCCTCTGCGGATGTGTATGCTTTAACTTTAACATAGCTATTTCTGTGACCAGTCACAAGCTAATCACTCAGCTATTTCAATGCTAAATTCTATGCTAATTCCTTTGTCAAGGCGCTTTGTTTCTTCTCACACAGCTTAAAGGTCGCGATCTGAGCGTGGCTTTTTCGCTCCAGCGCTGTCCTCCAGACAGTCTCGTCCCTTCACCTGATGAAGGCCGCTTGTGTTGTGGCCGAAACGTCGTGAGAATTTTATTGTGTTATTTTATTTAATCAATTTATTATTTTATTCTCATTCTACGTGACTTTACCGAAAGAACCAAAGAAGATGTATCACAAACATGTTGCCTATCCAGGTGGAATCTAATAAAGAGCCTTTTGGCCAGTGTGTTCACCATTGCAGCTCTCTGATCATTTCAATGCATCCACTGTCGTGTCAGGCAATGGTCAATGTACCCATGATACACATCTTCCAAGTAAAGAATTGCATGCAAGTGTTACGAATCAAATATTCTATATCCACACTCGTAATAGTTGTAAAAAGAGCTATTCCCTTGCAGGCAATTGATCCTGGTTTCGGATCTCAATAGATTTCATCCAATAGAAAGACCGAATAAACATTTTCACATCCCTTCAATTCAGAAGAACCTATTTCTGGCAAAGGTTAACGCTCACGGGAGTTGGATTCTGGATTTGTTTTTGCTCAGTGCAAAATGTCTCAAAGATTAAAATGGCATCAATCAGGCACAAGCAAAATATGCCATCTTCTCAAAAAATCACTCTTCAATTATTTAGGGCAACTTTCAGGTGAATCAATTTGATTTCAAATGACTGTTTAAACATTTTTCTGATATTGAAGCTGCATATCACAAAACATTATCACTGTTATAGGACTTTTCAAACATATTGGTGAGATAAGTAATGCCTGTGACACAATTTGTTTCACTGGGCTTTGAACTCTTCCAATCATCAACTTGGTATTTTTTTGAAGGCAAATAATCAAATGCAGAAAGACTGACAAACGCATCAGTAACTAAGTTACAAGGTACACTTGGATTAAAAGCAACTGAGCCTTACAGGGAGTTTAAATTGGACTGACAGTGCTAATTAATCCACTGCTTTTTATCTCACACAGCAGATGCCAAACATTCCAATTAGCCAAAGTAGATTGTGAATTGCTTACAGGGTTTTATTGAATACCTTAGGGTAAAAAAAAAATCAAACGCATGAAATATTAACCCATCAAAATAATGACAAAAAATATGTATGGGACTTTCGCTACCAAAAACCCAAATGTCTATCGTCATCTTTGCATAGGACTCATCATTAGTTAATTTTTTGGTAGAATGGCAGCGTAAATCAATGGGAATAATATATACAAATGTATGCATGAGTGAATGTCTCGCTTTATTTCGGTGGACACTACAAACTGTGTGTATTAATACTGCACCTTACATTCATATGGTGATTGTATTTATAATTACATTACATGAAAGTAAGTTCAAAGAGCTGGCTGGCTCGAGGCTATGACAGCCCATCTGAAAACCTTGGACTCAAATCCTTTAGGGGGACAAGAAAAAAGGAGAGACTGTCGTTCCCATTCTAGAAATCTACATGTTCAGCTAGTTTGATATGGTCAAGAGTTGTACAGATTTCGGCATATGCATTGCACTGCTATGCCCGAACCACTCGATATTGCCAATCTGTCATTACAGATTCACAAAGCAGTTGCAGAATTTTCCACCAGAGACACTGGTTTTCTTTCTGAAGATCCCTACAAAAAACACACAGCTATCTTAAACCCACCTCAGCCACATCACGCTGGGTGAAATCTGCACCGGAATTCATCCATTTACACAAGGCAACGCCATAGTTTCCAAACAGTAAGAAAGGATAATATTGATATGGTACAGGGCAGGCAGAAGAAAATGAGCTCCTAGCACACAGGGATAAGAATGGTACTCACCAGCAGACAATGCACATACTCGGGCCCTCCAACCAGCGTGGTGAAACTGCCCAGTTGCTCAGCCAGAGCCAGCAGCACCTCATCCTCATCATAGATAGTGTCTTCACAAAGACAGCAAACAACAGGGCCAGGACGGCCATCAGCTGCAAATATAATCCACTTCAACACAATAATGATGTTTTGGATGAACGTGCAAATATTCGGGCGTGTGACCTTCCTGCAAAGAAAAGCATCGAATATAAACAAGGACACAAAATGATCAAAGGCTGCACGCAAAAATCTCCAATTAGAATGAAATGCGAATGAAACCTTGATTCGAGCACAATTCTAACATAGAAATGTAATGCAAGGTTAATCAATATTTTATTCAACACCTTTTATTAAAACATGTGAGCTTCGCAAACAGCATACCCTTTAGATAACTTAACTGAAATTTAAGCAAATACCCCCATCATACGTACATTTTGGAATTTAATTTTAAACAAATGTCACTAAACACAATATACAGATAGTGGCCAAGAATATAGCTGATGGTTGCATCTAATGTTGGAAGCAGACAATGACTCTCCCCAGAAAGAGCTGCCTTAAATCAGGACCCAATGATAACGAGAAGTACTATGCTGCTCAGACCAGTAATTCTGCATATACGTCATTATTTAATGTGCGGGTGTCCCATGGAACACAGCAAAGCAGTCAATGTATTCAGTTTCTCTGTAATTCAAGGATTACAGATAAGCTACATCCAGCACCACAAAATCTTTAACTAGCGAGGAGTAACCTCACACAGTGAAAAAGCACGCGAAACACTTTAATCAGACAAGGCAGCATTTGTTCATAAATGACTGAAATTGGTAGATCTCATAACGTACAATTTAAGAAATCTTAACTTTAATGGCTTGAATATGGAAACTTCTGGATTTATGGAAATCCCTTTGTATGTTTTGATGCATTCATGCATAGACATGTACAGCCCTTTGTCAATCGACTGCTGGGTGAGGGCCTCCCTATGCTGCATAGATTGCGGAGATTATTCAACCATACCTCAACCAAGCTCGTCACGAAGAGGAGCATAAGTGGGAGCCGTAAAAATAAAGTACAAAACATTTTTACAAAGTGCCCTCTGCTGCCCACCATATAATCGCACAGATTATAATACCTGTTATGAATGGTGGTTATCCATCCAAGTACTATAAAGGATCAAAAACGGCTTCGCTTCCGAGGTCTAGCAAGATCGAATCTATTCTGGGCGATTTTATTATCGGCGCGTTCATGCAGAACACAAAAAAATAACTCGTTTTTTAGAGAGATCATGTTTGCTTACCATAAATATAGTTGCGCAATTGTAACGATCGTATGCTGGTATGGCGATTACATTTTTTGTATATATATCAAACCCAATTCCTAACAGGGTTGGGGACTTAATGGAATCGAGGCATCATAATGGGTCTGGCAACTCGGAGCTCTGCAGGGCATTCAGGCAAGAAGGGAGCATCCATGGGGCCTGGCAGGCCAAGTGGAATCATATGGTCGATACCGATGTAATATATTTCAATGATTCTTATACATATTGACCAATATCGGGGCCAATACGAGCGATTAAACCGCCAAGATCCATGAAAGGGCTAAGCAAAGGCTATACAAAGAGCATCTAAGTGTGCGGCCTAATAAATACAGTGAGGGGAAAAAAGTATTTGTCCCCTGCTGATTTTGTACGTTTGCCCACTGACGAAGAAATGATCAGTCTATAATTTTAATGGTAGGTTTATTTGAACAGTGAGAGACAGAATAACAACAAAAATCCAGAAAAACGCATGTCAAAAATGTTATAAATCGATTTGCATTTTAATGAGGGAAATAAGTATTTGACATCCCTCTCACTCAGAAAGATTTCTGGCTCCCAGGTGTCTTTTATACAGGTAACGAGCTGAGATTAGGAGCACACTCTTAAAGGGAGTGCTCCTCATCTCAGCTTGTTACCTGTATAAAAGACACCTGTCCACAGAAGCAATCAATCAGATTCCAAACTCTCCACCATGGCCAAGACCAAAGAGCTCTCCAAGGATGTCAGGGACAAGATTGTAGACCTACACAAGGCTGGAATGGGCTACAAGACCATTGTTAAGCAGCTTGGTAAGAAGGTGACAACAGTTGGTGCAATTATTTTCAAATGGAAGAAACACAAAAGAACTGTCAATCTCCCTCGGCCTGGGGCTCCATGCAAGATCTCACCCCGTGGAGTTGCAATGATCATAAGAACGGTGAGGAATCAGCCCAGAACGACACGGGAGGATCTAGTTCATGATCAAGGCAGCTGGGACCATAGTCACCAAGAAAACAATTGGTAACACACTACACCGTGAAGGACTGAAATCTTGCAGCGCCCGCAAGGTCCCCCTGCTCAAGAAAGCACATATACATGCCCATCTGAGTTTGCCAATGAACATCTGAATGGTTCACAGGACAAATGGGTGAAAGTGTTGTGGTCAGATGAGACCAAAATGGAGCTCTTTGGCATCAACTCAACTCGCCGTGTTTGGAGGAGGAGGAATGCTGCCTATGACCCCAAGAACACCATCCCCACCGTCAAACATGGAGGTTGAAACATGTTTTGGGGGTGTTTTTCTGCTAAGGGGACAGGACAACCGCATCAAAGGGACGATGGACGGGGCCATGTACCGTCAAATCTTGGGTGAGAACCTCCTTCCCTCAGCCAGGGCATTGAAAATGGGTCGTGGATGGGTATTCCAGCATGACAATGACCCAAAACGCACGGCCAATGCAACAAAGGAGTGGCTCAAGAAGAAGCACATTAAGGTCCTGGAGTGGCCTAGCCAGTCTCCAGACCTTAATCCCATAGCAAATCTGTGGAGGGAGCTGAAGGTTCGAGTTGCCAAACGTCAGCCTCGAAACTTTAATGACTTGGAGAAGATCTGCAAAGAGTGGGACAAAATCCCTTCTGAGATGTGTGCAAACCTGGTGGCCAACTACAAGAAACGTCTGACCTCTGATTGCTAAAAAAGGGTTTTGCCACCAAGTACTAAGTCATGTTTTGCAGAGGGGTCAAATACTTATTTCCCTCATTAAAATGCAAATCAATTTATAACATTTTTGACATGCTTTTTTCTGAATTTTTGTTGTTATTCTGTCTCTCACTGTTCAAATAAACCTACCATTAAAATTATAGACTGATCATTTCTTTGTCAGTGGGCAAACGTATAAAATCAGCAGGGGATCAAATACTTTTTCCCCCCACTGTACACAGGGAAATTAATGTACATGAAACCTTGGCCAAAGCCTTGTACTGTATATACACAGGGTAGCTACGTGTCTATGTAGCCTTGACGGCAGCCTTGCATCATATACAAGGGGTATAATCCATGTATATACAGCCTTGGTTATAGCCGAACATATATGTAGCGACTGTGTATGTCACTGTGTGGTGCCGGACTTACGAAGCCACGGCGGATAATGTGTTGGCATTAGGTGTAGCCCGCTTACTGGGCGGAGTACCATCCCTAGCGGGGCTTGGGTGAGCGCTGGTTAGCGCGGAGGCACCACATACAGTGTGCGATGCGGGCTCCCGGTGAGGGAGCGAGGGAGCGTCAGCCAGCCAGGGTTACGTAGGGTTAGTGTAGGTTGTGTTATGTTATGTTGAGTTACTTAAGTATATAGTGTTGCTCCCAAGACAACATCTGCGACTCAGTTGGACTCGCTACATATATATACAGGGAAGCTACATGTACATGGCTATACCCATAAATCCTCTGTACATCCTGATCACTCATGTGTGTGGGCAGGATGCTTAGGATATTTATGTAGGCTCTGTGGGCCTTCCTGAACACAACACTGGGAAACCAGGGTGGAATTGGGCCAATTCTGCACACTAGGCATTGGTAATATATTTCAAATTGAGATATTGGCCACCAGGAAAGTCAGAATCGACATTCTGGCTGTCTGGAATAAGGCAAACTTACGTAGGATAATGCTTAGCTACATTAAGTATAGGCTAAGCCTTGCAAAGCTACGTTTGCAAAAGAATGACAAAGGACATATTTTAGAGGGCACATCTTTCATGATAGAATCCCTGTAAGATTCATGGAGATTTCAACGTGGAAAACACCAACAGATGCATCACAATTCTTGCCACAAAGTAACAGCTCTAACTAGAACGGTATTTTGATTACAGCCATCACACCTGTAACATGAATTAGAGGCAGCAAAAAGGTTTTGCGCAAGTGCAAAAGCCAACAGCATTCCTTTGTGCCTATGCAAGTCTACAATATACATATAACAGATGGGAACATACGCAAAAAACACGCCCAAAACAAACCCTCCACTCCATTCCGCAGGCAAGTCCGATGCCTTATTTCACGGTCAGATGCACTCAATTATGTACTTGCGTCAATCTGTGATGCAAACTGTACAGTTAGAGAGACCACCTGGAGCAACGCACGTCAGAAATGCGGCACGAATGAAATGAGGACACCGGTTCACACAAAGGAAAAATGGGTGCATGCAGAAGGGTGCCTGGACGTGTACTTGGATAACTCAGATGGTCCCACAAAATGTCGCCATGAGGCAATCCTCAAATTGACACGTTCTTCTTTTGAAAAAAAATGAACGGTTAAAAAAAACGTATTGCAACAAGCGGCAACACGTTTCTAAAACGGTTTGATCTAACGGAAAATACTTCAAAAGACGTGAAGATACGCGTACATGCAAACAATCAGAATCTATTCATTTGAGGAATCCGATGATCTATAAAGCTCTTTTTCAAAGATGTCCAGTAGTGGCGGGTCAGAAAGTTACTGAATGAGGGCCCTCCCCATGTCATGTGGGGGTGCAAGGGTTTTTGGACCACTCTTTACCATGCTACTCACTGTGGGTTGGTGAAAGTGAGGAGGGGATAGACATTGGATAACGGTACAACCCATCAATGATTTGTTCGTGCACATTCCTCTACCACACTGGGCGATTTGATCACAGGCTAAAGACACCTTTCAGTGTTAACATTTAATTAACGTATTGGTGTGGCTTATCCCACCTGCAAATAGTTATTTGTAAATGTTAAAATCAGTGTTTACATGTTTAAAGTAACAAAATAAAACTCTCAAAAACCAAACACGTTGGAAATATTAACTAAATGAAATCCAACCAAAACTTGTTTCAGACCTTGACAAAAACTCACACGGGGGACATTTAAGATATATCTATCGCGTAATCCTAGAACATTAACGTGTGTATTATTTTTTGTTTGCAACTGTAAACACCCATTTGTACTATGCCCGACAGTTAAATAAAACCTAGCAGAGGATAAAATCAACTATAAACAGTAGCCTAACAATATCGCTGTAATGATATTTCATTAGTCAACGGCTGCAGAGTAAAATAAAAGCGTTATTCCCAACGTACCCCTGAGTGGTCAAGGCACTTATGTAGTCATGTTCTATATCTCTACTAATTTTGACAATCTGCACTCCATATTACATTTTCCATGCATGAACTCTGCAATTACTACTGTTTGCCAAGTTGACATCACACAACTGTTCATGCTTGTACAAACATATTTTGTTCAAACATTAAGAGCTTACATTGAATATGTAATGGAGCAGCCAAGGTATTTGGGGTGATGTAACACAAGACTGTTTATATGGCACTCACAGAATTTAGTGCAGTTACAGAGACTGCAGTGCACTCTTAAAATGACTGATGCGACATTCGCAAGCCTGCCCTCTTTCAAACATTCATAACACGAGTGAATAGCAACCTTGGCGCAATACAAGTTGGTTACACAGGGTGTCTAGACAATAAAGCTATCATATTTTAGAGTGGACTTTTGTTCACCATCATATATGGTGAACCGAGGTGTAAACAATGCCAAGCGTTACCCTGGTATCATTTTGTTACTGTTGTTTGCTACTCACAACAAAAAGAAAGAATGGGGTCAAAGGGACAACATCAAAATGGCCCCACACAGTCACAAGAAAGTGCAGGCTTAAATATTACGTTTTAAAAGGAATATATTGCAAGCAATAAACATATTTCATAGTTAGAAGACTGGAATTCACAACATACCCATAGCTGGTAATCAGTTGTCATGCCAAACGAATATTAGTTAAACACATGACTTCAACTGATTTTTTTTTTATATTAAAATTTAAACTCTGGAAGTCTCATGAGGTCTTACAACTCCAACAACAAAAAAGAGACATTTCCAAACAAGAGCATTAAATTGTTTTTAACCTGGTTGCAATTTAATGCTCGAATTAACCACGGATTTTTCGAGAGCAACCCGAAGTATAATATAGCTAATGCATAAGACATGAATTACATGGAAAACTAATGTTCCTTCAATTCATCACATCTGAAACACCTGGTGCACTCCACACGGGAACAGGGCGAGATTCAATCATCCCTCGAGCATTTTTGACTTTTCTGTCAAGGTCACCACTGGCGTCTCGGGCTGTTTCCAGGCACCGTGGCCAAAAAAAACACATGTCCTTTGGCCACATGTTATTACACTGTAACATTACACATAATGCATGGTAATAGCAGCTGTCTACGAATGTGCTCACCGGTCAGGAAGGGGATGAGCTCACTGCGCGTCCTCTCCACTCCAAGAGCAAGGGCGATGGTCGACAGCTTTTTGATGCTGTTAAGACGCAGCTGTAAGGGAAAGACAAGCCTCCCGATTAGGCCCTTTCAGATGTCACCTCCAATTAAGTCAAAGAAAAAAACTACAGATTTTACAAAAGGTAACAAACATTCTGGCCAGACTAATGGCAAGTGTGCACTGGCTTTCAGTCGCAACAAACTGATTAATGACTCGAGAATGTGGCAACAAAAATATAACTTCGGTCTATAATTGGAGCACATTGACATGTATCAATGACCAAATCACCCAGAATACACCTGATCATCAGATCTTGCAAGCTAAGCAAGTTTGAGCCTAGTGTGCTTGGATATACCACCAGGCATAACAGGTGGAAATGTTTGTGGGACTACACGGTGGACAACAAAGGACAGTACAGGAAAATCCATTGTTGTACAGTACTTCTATGGCCCCCTATCTACGCTCCCTGCCATCATGAACTCACACTGACAAATGTGGTGAGGGATGGTCAAATAACCCCAATGACCTACACTGCGTGTGGAGACCCTCATCAAGCAACAGACTGAAAAATAGCTGTACATGTGGAAGTAGTGTCTGTAGGAATAATGCTTAGCCCGAGTGGACGTCTGCTGTTGAAAAAAACAACACCACACAGGAGGCCATTTGCATTCATTTTCAGAATTTGGAAATAAAATAAATAAAATCTCTTTCAAAGTCAAATCTGCAATAAATATATTAAATGTAATAGATTTGCATTTATTATTAATCCATCTTTGATGTACCGTAACATTCCAATATTTATTTTACAGTTTAAACACGTTTATAACAAGCTGTGAATGTTTGCAATGTCCAACGGTACCCGAGTTATGAGTCGAACATAGGCCCTTCTTGATCCGAGGCACAAGCATAACCATTGCACCACTGCCACCCAGTTTGTTTTGTCTAGAATTTAACGTGGCTGCCAACCCCAGGCTCACTTTCATATAAATACATTGTTGTGTTACCCTGACCAAATTCATTAACATAGTAATGTGCCTATATACAGCATTGACTTTGTCCACATGCTACTCATGTCATATTTGATGCACTTCTGGGCAAATTACCAAACTTCAAGATTTATTTTTTTATCCAATGGATGGTACAAGTTTCCCTCGCTTTATTCGGTAGATGCGTGCTAAAAACAAAAGGGCGCACAAAGCTAAAAATCACACTAACCAAACCCTCCAAGTGAGGGAAATCTGTACTCTGGTACACTGTAAAAACTGTTTCAGTCTCAGGTGAGAGGTTCTGTACCGATTTCTAATTTCAAGGTTACAGGAAAGTAAGCCAGTTCAGTTCACAAACTTGGCCGGTGGACAATTTCTGGGTTCCCAAAACAGCCTCATCATTTCTGACCCGAAAACCACGTGAGTTCAAGTACCAATCCCTTCTGATGGTGGCTCCCAAATGAATGCAATTTCTCTCAAGCCACCGTCAGAACCAGCAGTGATGACTATTGGAGGGAGCCAAGTTCTGAGGATACAGGAGGGAATTTACAGTGCTGAAAAGGGAATCAGGATTTCCAGAATCATTTGCAATCACAGCACAAGTCTGATTTTGACCTTGAGGCGAAATCTTCTAGATCTGACTGTGTAACTCAATGACAGATTTCTTCCATTATCTCACAAGCCTTTTAGCGGTGTTGTTATGCAATTGGCACAATACTTTACAAAGCAATGCCCCCATTAACCGATCTTCCAAAACAGGGCATGCCTATGTAATAAATACTATACAGGGATGCATGTGGCATCCACATCACATTCCTACATCAATGTGCTACACAACAGCGGTCGTTTACCTAAAACACCTTGGCCGTTTTTTACTTTAACTTATAGTGCTCAGAATTATATATGTCATTTAAAAAAAAAGTGTTTATTGACCTAAGCATGGGTTAATAAGACTTGGATAAGAAAAATCTGCTACTACAGTATTTTTACCCTGTATACAGTGGAGAACCCTTATTTACATATTGATGTAACAATCTGGTATTTTAACAATACACATGTATATGCAATATCCTGTGAAAGTACTTGACTGTTGTTTCATCTTAATATACAGTTTGTTTCAGTTCACGTATGCTTTCGTTTTATTGGGTTACTGAAAACCAAAGCAGGGATCGAAACACAAAGGTGGGCATATCAACTGGAACAGTAATTCAAGTTGACATTCATTGGTACAGTATCGCTTTTTAAAAGACTTGTAAAACCAAAATGGCTAAAACGTCTACACCGTTTATTTTTTTTCGTCATAAGCCGAATCTTTATTTAATATGGAGGAATCTGGTGAGCTATGAAGCTCTTTTTCAAAGAGATCCAGTAGGGGCAGGTCAGCAAGTTACATCAATGAAAACATACAATAACGGATACAAGAGTAAGATAGAGAGAAAAGTTCAGCAAGTCAGGAGTAAATATAAAGCATGTTAGTACAAAATTGCACTCGTATATGAATTGCTGCAAATTAATCAAGAATGCACGCTTGGGCAAGGCAGCAATGCAACAACCGAAGACCACAACTCGATTACATTGCACTTTATAATTGAACTATAAATACATGAGTAAGGTTCATAGTTTTAAATGACACTTGCAAATGTGGATGAATCTGGAACACATGCTCTGTTTAACGGTATTTTCTAAGGAAGATTTACTCGGCTAAGGGAGGATACAAAGTTATTCCAAAACGTTGGTGCTGCAACGACAAAATGTCACCTATTCCAATTCTTGTCCTAGAGATCTTAGGTTTTTTGGGTTTGACAATAGTGTGAATGATTTAGCCAAGTATCACGCAGATTTGCCAATAAGGATTTTAAAGAAGGCTGTCTCTGGTGTAGGCCAATCAGTTTCAAAGACAATGCATATATTATCAAAGCATGTTTGTTTGCATGTTAACCACAAGTATGTGGTTAATGCGAACTTGGTTCCTTGCAAAAAGGTTTTGTTTTGTGTTTGAACATCTTAAATGTTTTATTGCCAGAAAGGGTTAAACCTATTCTTATTTATCATACTTTGATAATGGCAAAAAAGACCCTACAATATATGCGTTCAATTTTTTTGTAAATTTACCAATGGCAGTGGTTTAGTGACAAGCACTGTGAACCCAGTGACCTAAGCCCGATTCCCAGCCATGGCTAACAAGTGAGGAATGACATTTCAACCAGTATGGACAACTACACTGACCTCCACAGTGAAGTTATGATCAATCATGGTAACAGATGGCATACGGTATACAGTATTGACAAAGGATGCAGAACTGCACATGAAACAAATTAAGGACACTGTAAATGAGGCAAGTATTGTCATTCAGCCATCATCTATTTGAAACCCCAGTGATTTACGTCATTTTTGTTACAAATGCATTTGGGAGAATATGAGAACATTAAAAAAACTTTTCAATTTGTACAATTGGAATAATGTCTCAACCATTCACAATGATGGTGCAACTGAATTGTAGGTAACCCCTGATTTGCAATAGTTGAAAGTAATGTCGTCATCATCATCCACTTTTATCCACTGCAGGATGCGGGCCTTTCTATATCACGATCCTCACATCTTGTGATGCCAGAATCCATCTCACTCCTGGACATGAACTTATCTCCACCTGCGCAGTCATCATCCTCTTTGGCACGTTTTCTCCTTTGGCTAATGATATTATAACATCTTGTCGATCGTCCATTTGCATAAGTTACCAAATCCATGTATGTGTTCTGCTTCAGGTCTGTGTAAATCTAAGCACACATTTCTCCACCCTTGTTTGTGCATTTTCCAGATTTTTCTAATTTTCAATGTCAGTGGTAATATTTCAGGCACTGTGTCATAGAAGGTAATGTGCACCAATTGAAACCTTTCCTCTTCACGCAACTTCGCTGTTGCTCTTCACAATCAAATTCAGATTTCAAAACTTGTTTCCTCTTCGTATAATAATTTTGAAAATCTACTGGTAATAATACAAAAGTAGGCTTCATATATATTGAGCAAATCACGATATGTACAAGTTTGCTATACAAACTAAAATAATTGTTGGCAGGAGACAACTTAACACCAAAAACTATGCAATATCTTCCCATTATTGAAAACATCACTATAAAATGAAATAAAGCCAACAATAGCAAGAGTGCTTTCTAACAACTGAATTTGAGGATTATGAAAAACGCACTAATGTGCAAAGCTGCAAAGATGCATTTATGCATATTACCGTAATCCTTGAGTAGGCCCTTTGGCCAGAAGTGGTGAGCACACAAGTGCAAGGAAGTGTGCATCTTTGCCTTACCTTGATAATAAATTGTTTTTTCTTTTGATGCTTTTGTTATTTAGTTATGAAAGCAACAATTTTTAAACTGCGTACATTAATTAGCAAACATTACACATCCTTATTTCTCGAAAGGTGCTGTTATCTTTATACAATGGCAAAATATAAATAAGCACTCCAATTATGTGCAATTGTATTGATGTTGTCGTGTGGTATGCGACTGTGTTTGCTGCCTTGCCCAAGATTGCATTTGGTGTTGAAAAATCGGCGATAATTGATGTTCTTATGCATTTTGTACTTGTATATTTTATTTACATTCATTTATATTCAGTGACTTAGCTTTCAATACTGTGCACTCCTATCTGTTGCATTGTTGTTGTAACTTGTGAAAGAGCTTCATGGCTCATCGGATTCTTCCAGTCGAAAATAAAAATTCCGATTCTGATATCTGTCCATCCAGGTATAAGTGGCATAATTCTTCTACTTATAATTGTAAACTCAGTAATAAACATTAATGTAAACGAGTTGTTGATTCTACTTCTAGGTTATTGGTATATGCCGTGATATAGACGTCTTTATTTTCTCACACTGAATTAATAACGAATATATGCTTCGGAAAAATAAGTTAACATTCATTCCACTGCTACAGTAAATGTTAACCCGGGTTACCGGTTTCCAGCTACTTAAGATTCTCAATCGCATTTTTGGACAAACGTGAAGATTACAAGTTAGCCAACCCCACCTTTATAGTACAATACGTACTGTAATTATAAACGCGGTGCTCGAGACATCCTTCATTTCTGGAAAGCGTTTAGGACGCAATTAATCTAACACATTTTCTGCAAACTGTTTGCTGCAATTGATACATTCGTGACGAATTATTATGATTCAGGAGACATTCTTCCCAAATGCTGCAGCACCTAAACCCCAGTGATAGACAATGCGGAGCGGCACCCACTCTCCATCGGCATAGCAATATCCAAGTCACACACACTCACTCTGATATTAACCCACGCTGTACAAGGTACTCCTCCTAAACCATCGCATGCATATTAAGACGCGATCGTTCAGGGGATAGCTCCCGAATCAATCGACACAACCAGCGCCGCTCCCAAATAGCCATCGAAGGACGCCTCCGCAAGGCCCTCCGAGCCAACTCCCCCCCCAGCCCCCCGCGCTCTCCTAGAATTCCGGCGCATTCCTGCGACGCCGACGCCGGCAACAATGAACCAGGCGACTTCGGAGGCTTCGCCGCCAATTTTACAGGCCTACGCGGCGGGCGGGCGGAGGGAACCCCTCCCCCCGCCGCGTAGGCTTAAGGAAAGCGCCTCGGCTCTTCGTTCGCGACTATCGTTTGCCGCGAGACGACGTTTCGTACTTGCACGTCCTCATTTCGCAACTCGTCGATGAGCACCGCGATGGGGTAGAGGGAATCGTCGCTGTCCGAGGCCGCCATCTTTTTCGCTCGTTCACTCGTCACGCACAGGACGGAGGTGGGAGGAGGGGTGGGGGGGGTGACGAATACGAGGCGGGGGGGGGCGCCCTGCGGGGTTTCTTAAGCCGGGGCGGCAGGGGCCGGGCGTGACGTAACCCCGGCACGCACGCGATTGGGGTGGGGGGTGCGCAACGGTTGTAGCGTTTCTTATGTGGCCCGACGCTGGGCCCTCTGGACCCACTGGGTGTCAGAACAGAGGGGTTTTTTTGATCTCTTAGGCATTAATTTTTCAGCATTTGGGAAAACTACATAGCTGTCAAACCACACGGTTTACTCCGTATTCTTGTACAGGGGAAATTGAGTTTTCAGGTCCATACGGCGTACAGCCGTTTCAATACGGGGGGGAGGGGGGGCAGTGTGTTTTGTCTATTTGTGATTCTCACTTGTGATGGCACTTTGTAGGATGAACGTTGAGATTTATAAGGGGCACGGGGTGACCAATTAGCTCTGAATTGGTCTGTAATAAGGTAGTCACTCATAAGGGGTTGACAGGCATGAAACTATAAACTATTTAAAAATATATAAACAATATTCTTGGTTCTTTCGGTGAAGTCACAATAAAATAATAAAAATATAAAACAATACAATTCTCACGACGTTTCGACCGCAACACAAGCAATCATCATCAGGTGCTTGTGTTGCTTGTGTTGCGGTCAAAACGTCGTGAGAATTTAATTGTTTTATATTTTTATTATTTTATTGTTTCCCTTCTACGTGACTTCACCGAAAGAACCAAGAATATGAATCCCTGCAGTCACGAAAGCTTTAAATCAAAATATAAACAATGTTTTATTTTACCCAGGTAAAGTCCACTGAACTATATATATTTAAAAAAATCAGAATCGACCTGGTTATCACAAATAGAAGTGGCTTATCACGTGGAAATGCATAGCAGTCAAAGTACTCTAAAACGCACGTTGATTCTAAATGTGGAGGGAAAAACCAGAGGACACGGAGAGGGGGGGGAAGAGAGAACATGCACACTCCAAATATACAGGTGTCGGGATTGAATCAACAATCTCCTGTATACCTGGCGAGGTATTTAACATCTCTCGACCGTGACAACAGCGCCCATGTTCGTAGGCTGCAGTAAGGTTCACAGTGAGGCAGCGATGTCGCGATGTAGCTTAACCAAATTAGGCTATTTGCTAGGAATTTTAAATGTGACAAATGTAGACCCTGTGACGCAGGCACACATGGCCTACTGCTTGTTAAAATAACGTCACGGGGTCTTCAACGCCAACTGTGAATCGCAGAGTGCGTATATATTCTTATGAATACGACTGCGGTATTAACCGAAGGGGGGCAGGGGCAGCCGGTGGGGTTTGAACCCCGAACCTCGGCAGCTAGTGGCAGACGTGCCACCACTCGGCCATGTCCCATTTCCAAATGCCCTTCGTGAAGACGAACAGAAGAAGTCTCCACTGAGCTGCTCAAACTTGATGCATCGCACCGATAAGTGGTGGCGATTTGATTCAATGGGAGTGAATATTACGTTTAATTTAATGGTGCTCTTGAACACGGAAACGAAATGACACAAAAAGAACCTAGACCCCTGGCCACCCTTGAAATTTGGTGCAAGAGAAACAATATTGACCACAATGTACCCTGCGTTCTTAAGTGGGTTGTGACTTTGAACGCCCATTGCACTTCAGCCTGCAATTTTCCACTGTCTCCTTGCCTTGATTGAGCGATGAGTATACACCATCAATGTCTGCCTGCTTATTTTTTCGATCTCGTCTGTAGTTCTTGCCTTTGCACTGTATTTGAACACTTTTCCTTCTTGAGTACCACAAATTTGCAGTCTCTCTAGAACTGTAATTTATATCCGTTGTTTCTTCCATGCTGTGTTGTTCGACTCTTTTTGTCCATTCCTGCGCCATGTCGGCCCATGTGTTAGCATGGAACGAGCATAGTGTTTGCGTTACATTTACACGAAAACATTTTTTTTTATTCTTGGGCAAGTGATTTGATGCATGTGTATGTATTTATGTATGTTGAACTTCTTTCGCACCGTACGTAGCCAACCGTGCTAATCGGACAACTGAGTACAAAAAGCAGTTCTAAAGAATTGAGTTTTCAATCTAGATTTAAAACTGCGTAGTTCCAGTGGCTTCCTGACATCGGAAGGAAGGGCCTTCCAGACGGCCGCAGAAGCGCATCTGTACGCGCGCAATGCAGTGAATGGCTTTGTTCGATGGCTGGGCAAAAGCCGCCGCTGCAAAGATGACCAGAATTCGCGTGATTGTTTGTGCTCCTTGACGAGATCAGCAAGATTTTGATTTAAAGCTTTCGTGACTGCAGGGATTCATATTCTTGGTTCTTTCGGTAAAGTCACAGAGATCAGCAAAGTTTTGGGACATTCAGGTCATCGATGTATTGTCCTGGCCCTACATGCCAGCCGCCTTCCCTCCCATCCATTATGTTAGCCCTCATATTTTACAAGGCACGATCGATTGATTGGGCTTTTGAAAGTGGTTGTACACTCCTGTTTGGGGAGGCACCAAACAAACTTCATTTCACCTTTGCGGGTGATTAATCGTTAAAAGTTAAATGTGCAGGAGCACTGCCATTGCTCGGTACAGTGATTCACACCTCCCACCTCCCTGAGGTTTTGATTGTCACAATTCGATTTTTAAAAAATGTTTTTTGTTCATTTTTTTGTCCTTATGGTGAATGGAACAGTGGAGCGTCAAAACTAAAGTAAGGTGTTTAAGTTCACGAACGAATTGAAGATATATATTGGGGGGACACAACTATATAAAAAAAAATATCTATACAGTACCTCATATTCTATCTATGTGGCTTTACCGAAAGACCCATAAAATATATACCTCATTCTTTTGGTCTTTCGGTAAAGTCAAGTACATAGTAAGTTCAAAGAAAATGACAAAAATCTATGACGTTTCGATCGCAACACAAGCGGTCGAAACGTCGTAGTTTTTTGTTTATTTATTTGAACCTATCTACGGGACTTTACCGAAAGACCCAACGAATATGAATTCCTGCAGTCACGAAAGCTTTACGTCAAGATTTATCTATACCTCGTGCAGGTATTGAAGGTGCCCTAATGATAAAATATAATGGTGGACAAGAGCAGGTTGGAGTACTTTTGGAATTTGTAAATTAATCACTACAATCTAACTAAATTTGTGCCCGAAAAATAAAGTACGTGATCATTATACGTTACATGCTATGGCATCGGGGTCAGAGACATTGACACAATGGAACAAAAGGTGCAAAGTGTGCGAACCTGGCATGGAGAGGCGCATGCTTGGAAATAACACTGACAATAACATATTGAGACAACATGCACAAAATTTGAAAAAGAGGGGCTTGTAAGGGCGTGTCGTGAGAAGGAATGATGGCCGGTGGTTGAGACTAAAAGCATTGGCAGCCAAGGGAAGGAACTTGCCTGCGAGAACATCAGCTGTCAAAATGGTGTTTTGAAATCAGTTTCTGTGTACTGTGTGCGAGTTGGATCATTGCATTGCAAATCCATGCTTGCAGAGGCCCGCATCCAGCAGTGGAATGATCTCGGCTGATGACGGTAAATATAGTGTATATATAGTGGCTGCGGTGTTTACATCAACCAATCACGATATAACTTATATGAAGTTAAAATCATTGAATTTCAAAGCCTCGAATTTACTTGCACGGGTCCTTGACAGTCCACGAATAATAAAACGGCTCACAACTCACTGCCGCAACTTCTCATGCCGTGGCCGATGCTCGCATGCCACAACATCCGTGACCACAAATGACTTGTCATGTAGTTAAGTGAACGCATCCCCCTTGTTTGCCGGTACATTTCGTCGCACACAATTAAACGAATTTCCATTCAGTGGCTTTACACAATGTCATCTTTTAACAACGAGGCGGGGTAAGAATTGTTCTCCCCCCTCTTGCGCTTTGGGGCCGTCCATAAATGACGTCACGCACCTGGGGGGGGGGGGGGGTCAGACATTTGTGGCGATGTGTGACGAGGGGGGGTTAGAGAAATGTGACGTCACATCAAAATGCGCAACTTTAAATAAATATAGACAACACGTTCTACTTATATTCTTGGTTCTTTCGGTAAAGTCACGTAGAAGGGAAACAATAAAATAATAAAAATCTAAAACAATAAAATTCTCACGACGTTTCGACTGCAACACAGGAAATCAAAATGGAAATATGGTTTTTGGGGGGGGGGCAGAGCTTTGTGACGTCATATTTGAGGGGGGGGGTCTGACTTTTTGTGACGCCGTGTGACGAGGCGGGGGGGGGGGGTCAAAAATCGCGTGACGTCATTTATGGACGGCCCCTTTGCGACTCGGGTCTCCCCAACAAAAACTACGCCCGCACCAAGCCTGACCGTGAGTTGTTGTTACCCGCGGTTACATGCAATGTGCTGTTGTGGGATAAAACATGAAAGGGACTTCTTGACTTAAAGCTTTCGTGACCTGCAGGAATTCATATTCTTTGGGTCTGCCTCAGCAGCTTTCCCCCTATTTTTTTTTACTCCTGATGACGATCGCTTGTGGTGTTGTGATCGAAACGTCGTAGTCTTTTTTGTTTTTTTTTATTTTCTTTGAACCTATCTACGTGAGTTTACCGAAAGACCCAAAGAATATGAAAGGGATTTGTTTGCTTGCCACACACAATACTTCTGGTGCCCGCACGCTGTAAATTAAAAAAAAGAATGCGCACTGAGTTTATAGCACTGACTAGTACAATATACACCGAACTTTTACGAGGTGGCTTAATGGTGAAAATGTTACTGCCTTGTGCTTGAAAGGTTTTTTTTTTGCCTACTGCCCGTGGTGAAGAAATGCTACACGTTGGCAAAGGCAGTGAAGGGGAAAGGTGAGATGTCTTAGAAACTGTCATTGATGACCATTCCTCAGCAGCTAACCCGCTACAAGGGGGAGAGCTCTGGCATAGCGGTTGGCATGTTACTATTAAGCGTGTCGATTTGACATAAATTTCAACTGGCCCTGAGTTCACCCCCCCCCCCCCCCACAACCCACTTCACCAACTCACTGACCAGCAGAT